CTCTCCTCCCCAGGGGGGTTGGTGCGCATGCCAGGTTTGACCTACAACAGCAATGGAGTCAAAGACCTCATTAATGCAGTGCAGGGATACCAGGTAAGAGACAGTTCTCTTCAAACACAGTAACTCATTAATCCAGTCCTTATATATGCAAATGATCTGTGCGCTCGGAGTTCACATGCACATTCACTGTAAGATCCATGTGTTGTATTCAAATCTCCTTCTATTGTGGGTGTATGTTGTCAGGCATCCACTGTGTTTGCCCAGAGGCTATCAAACTAGTTTATCCTGTCTACTCTCCCTGTTCTGTCACTCATGCACTGTTGCTTGCTTAGACTTGAATTGGAGGAACTCAAACCTTATTTAAACTTGGAAGACATTGAAGAATCCCAGGGGTATGACAAATAAGTGGATTTATACCAAAGTTATACCAAATTAAGAGAAATTAATTAAAAATTTAAAAAGTTGGACTGATTTTTTTTTCTTCTCATGAGCAAACTCTTTCACCTCCATGACAGGTTTTACAGATCCATGTGGTCTTTAGGTTAGTTTCTGTAGTTGCTTGTATCTCAGCCCCATGTCTCTGTCATTCCTCCCCGTTCCTCAAACCACAGTACGCCCCAGAGGATGCTCTCATGCACGCCCATGGGCCTGTGCACGCTCACGACCCGACCAGGACATTGCTTACGCAGCCCAAAGAATGGGTGTGTATTTAAGGTGTCTGAGGCAGGTGGCAGGTAAGGATTGGCTGAGGGCTCAGTGAAGGGGGCTTTAGTTTAGACAGTGATTGTAGCTGTGGCTTGGGTCTTAACTGGTCCCTGTGGGGTACAGGTCTCGACACAACAGTGATATTTTTTGTGAAAACAGAAAATTTTCCACTAACTGCACACGGTAGCAACAACGGCTGACTGAGATGAGTGGTTAGAGGAATTTTTCTTGGATTTTAGTCAATCCTTGGGTTTTGTTTTGAATCATTTTGACGGGATGCTGCTCTGACCGACTGTCCGATCCTTTTATGGAAGTCTGCTTTATCAAATACTGGCTACTATTGCTGTCATCTCAAGAAGTCTTTTATGGGATACAGCAATAGCTTAAAGGGTCAGTTGACCGTTCACTAAACCCGCCCCAGCTTAGCAACTAGAACTAGGCATGGCAGACCTGTCAAGCTTTGGATTTCTCTATATGCCAAAACAGTGAGAATGTGTCTCTAGTAAGAGCTTTACTTGGTATCTCATGAGTTTGGATGGTGGTGTTTTTTTTAATCACTTTTTAAAAAAAACAAAAACACAAGGAACATGTGTAAGGAAGATAATAAACTATGTGTTTTTCTACTCTGACGTAAACTGGATTTATAAAAACTAATCAAGCGTTACTTTCAAAAGGACACGTAATGAGCAAACTATTATGTGAGGTTACAGGTTACATAATAGTTACAAAATACAATATTTATTCAGAGCTGGAACATCCACTACGTGGGAACTAAGGTGCTAGCAAAGCTTCGATTATGTTAGCAGCTCTATTTTAGTTTCTAGAAGAACTGAACTGAAGAAGCCTTTCATGCGAGAGGTGAAATTTCTTCAAGAACCTCAAGCAAGTCCATTTGCCTTTGTAAAGCTCTAAGAAACAGTTTTGAGAAGTTTATCCTAGCACTATATTTGCCAAAATCATTTTTATTTCCTCTTATTCCTTTAGTTTTTAGTGTCAATAGTTTACTCTAGCTAGCTACAGCTGATAAAATCTGCTAGCAACAGTTGGGTTGTCGGCTATAAATGAGATGCCTGCTTTTGATTACTGCTGTCATCTGTTATCGTTGTAAACTGCCTGTGTGTGAGAATGAAAAGCTTGACAAGCATAGCAACAGTAACTAAGAGGGGCGTGGCTTACTGAATGGTCAGTTGGTGGTGTTGTAGTGTAATAGTACAATATTGGATAATTACAGGTGTAACCCTCAAGCGGTTAAGAAGGTGATGGGTAACATCTGGTGCTGGTGTAAGGGCTCTGTGTTTTACTCTGTGCTTTTACTCTGGGATAATGCTCTTCTGTCTCTCTCTCTGCTCTCCTCCCCCTTCCTTACCCCAAAACTCTCCCTCCTGTCCCCCCTCCAGAGTCCCGCAGAGTCTGTGTCTCTCCTGAGCAGCAGTCTGATTGGTCAGTCCAGCGGAGGTGATGCTCCTCTTATGTCCCTCCCAGCTCTCATGACCAAGCCGGCGGGACAGTACCTGGACCTGACCCTGCTGTAGGGTCGCACATTATACAAAGGTCATGTGACAGTGACTCGTAATGTATTGTTAGGTTTTTAAAAATAGTCTTTTAGATGTGTTATTTATATCTTTAAGAACAGAAATTAATGTATTTTATACCAAAATCATTGTGGCCTTAGCCAAAAATAGCAGTTTTGTCTTATATTGCACAGTGTGTATTTTAAAAGCTTTATAGAGATTTTTTAACATGTTATGATTTTATTATCGACTATGATATATTTGCTAGCCAAACTAGAAAAGAAAGACCTAGTAGCAACTGAGCTAAATCTTTCCTTAAGCTTTTCTGTGAAGAGTGAAAGTGTGTGTGAGTGTGAAAAAGATGAGAATGAGTATTATGCATGGCTGTGTTGATACGTTTTAATACTTAATCTGTTTATGCAATATATTTTGTGTTTATATACATTTGATACAGTACATAGTGATTGTATTGGAAGCTTTAGTGCATGAAGAAGTTAGTAGTAAAACTTTAAGATGTTTACATAATGCCAAATATCAATGCACTGCTAATCAATAAGACTATTAATGAATATAATAGCAGTATCTCTGAATGACAATATGTTACACTGTGAGGTTGTCAAGTAGTCCGGTCCTTGCATCAGACTTCACTTACAAAAATGTGACATCTCACACTTCATTAGCCCCCTCCTTTCGTCCTTTAGGCACCCTATATGGGTCCGTTTCTTTGTTGTGTAATGCCAATGTTGTCTTGCCTTTTGTTTTGGAGTAACACCTGAGCAGAGGACAGTCCCAGTTCTAGTAACCTAACCACAGGATTGCATTCTTCAGAAATACTTGTGTCACAAGCTCTCACCTTACCGAGTGGATATCAGGAGCCAGAGGTGTTTCTGACAGATTTTATTAATATTTTGCTCAGATAGGACCAACAGAGATTCACCCCTTTGTCATTTCCCCTCATAACTAAATCTTTTGGAGAGTAGCTAAGAGGGAGAATATTTTGTTTTGATATGTATCTTGTGGATTTAATTGCCATTTGTAGCCCGAAAAGTTGCTGTTTGGGCTCCATGTTGCTGTACGACGTCCTACAGTAGGACTTTAAACTCCAGCTCAGGACGTCCTGCTGCGGTAATGCTGAAAAAACAATAAACACAACGTGAAGTCTGCTCGTCTCCAGCTGTTTGATTTCACTATTTGCCTTCCGTGTGTCTCAATTCACTTTGCAGTGTACTTATTGTCTGTATTTTGGGAGGGTTTGTGAAGTGCAGCAGCACAAACACACAGGTGGAGCTGGTGATGACAGAATGTGGCTCGAGGCAAAACTGGGGGATCTCACACTGTCCTCAGTGATTAACACTGTGTTTCCCACATTCACACACATGCTATGGCAAAGAAACTATTGTCACTCAGACACACTAAACACATTATGTGAGACGATGGCCTTTTTTTCACAGGGTGGAAAAGTGGAGCATAGAGAGTGCAGGAAGGGGCGAGAGAGAAGGAAGGCAGACAAAACCATGTCAGACCCCCTCAGGGTAGATTTGGCATTGTGTAATACAATCTTGTGCACCCCACCCAACTTGATCCCTTTTAAACACACTCACTCATTCTCCCACTCACAAAAAACACGGTCTAAACCAGCATAGCAACACCATTAGTATCCACGCAACAAAGCCCAGAATACTTCTTTTTGTCCTTAACCTTTATCAGAGTTTACTGATATATGTTGTCTACTGTGGGGGGAAAGCAGCATGTTATATAGTTTCATAATTTTAAGAAATTGTTCCCATGTGAAGTGCTAATCCTGGGATAAGTGCAACCACTTTATCCCAGTTTAAAGTGTTTGTTTCATTTAAAATTAAAATTTGCATATTAGAATTTTGAGTTTATTATAGATTAGAAGAAGCATTTGAATTGAAAAATAATTGCGTCTTTGATTAAGTATAATCCAAAGGATATTAGGAACTGTGGGGGAGGTGTGGACAGACAGAGGGGGTGGTTATGTATTCTTTTTTTTTGCTAAAGGGAGTGTAGTCAAATTTAACATTGTCTCTCTAAAAAAATGTTTCACTGTTGTCTGTACTTTATAGTTTATACCAAGTTACAATAGCACCACCGTGAAGTTAAAAGTGTCATATACCCTTAGCTGTTAATTAATATAATGAAAGTCAGCAGCCACAGAGCTTGTGTCTCATTTATTTAATCAGTGACTGTGGTTTTAAATGTTAATTTAGAAGCTTTTGGTTAAAAAAATAGAGAAACCAGATGCACCATTTATAATGTTAACCATCATTTTGGCAATTGCATATTCCACTCCTGTGTGATTTGGTCAATGTAAACCCTAAAACCCCAAACATAAGGTTCATGCTCCCTCCCATTGATGATCTTGTTTACTGTCTTGCCCACATGAGTATTTCTGTCAAATCCACATTAATTTGTTCAGTTATAAAGGCATTAATGCACACTCTCTTGCTAATACCAGAGCCTGTCTGCTGCTGCACTGTGACTTGAAGATGAATTATCTAGCACTCAGTGGTTCACTGAAGGACAGAGTAGAGGTGTAATTACTGGCTGACTCATTGTTCTGTACCTAACAGGTGTGTAGAGGCAGATAAATCAGTTATATTCTTTATAACAACATTCCCTCACTGGGTGGGTTAGGCCTTCATACACCCTTAACACTTATCCACACTTAGCCACGCAGGGCGAGGCCGATCCACATTCCCATGTAAGTGCAGAGACCAAAGATGCTGCTACAGAGTTGTCAAACCGATGATGTGGCTTTTATTAAGATCCAACTGAGGGCAGGAACAACTCAACACATACAGTACAGCAGCAGATCATATGCTGCCTCAGATGTGGTTGTGACAAAAGAAAGCCGAGCAGCAGGGTCATGCTTACTGATACCAAATTTCCAGGAACTTGACATCTGAGAACAGTTTTTCACTTGACCTGTGATGAAAACACAAACTGCATGTAAAAAAAAAAATTAAGCAAAGTGATCCATGATCTGTTCGTCATGACAACCTGTCACACTGGCGCTACAGGAGCAGTGTCTGCACATTTGTCTCCCTCTAGTGGACAGATTGAGACTGCAGCTTCACAGTCGCAGTACAATCCAGTCTCAACACCTCGTCACAATTCATTTTCACTCTGTTCAGGAAGTTTCTTCAACCTCAAATGCTGCGCATGTTTTGGCATGTCAAAGTGGATGTCTGAAGAATAAGAATAAATACAATAAGGAAGTAAGCATTTACAGTGCCTGCTCTGTTACAGTATCAGCATATTTATTACAATGTCTATTTACATTTTGAAGAAACTGATTAGAAAGTGAAGTGACTTTCCACTTCAGCAGTGCTTTTTTAAAGTGTTTAGCTCAATGCTTCAACAGTCGCTGTCTGAAACACAGTTTAGGCATCAACGTGGACACAGTGATGATGAAATCACGGAAAAACCTAAACATAACCCCAATGCAAATCAGACAAACATTTCATCTTGTGATATAGGTATCATGCAGGCAGCACCAGTCATATCTGTAGCTTGTCTGTATTGTGTGTGTGAGTAAGTCAGTTAACTAGTGAGTCCATTTCATTCTATCTCACTTATAGTTTATACAGTTTCAGTTTGATGAATATAAAGAACCGTTCTTCTAAAATAACATTTAAGCAAATATAACAATTGGCTTTATGCAAATATATATTTATAACTGCTGAACGTTTTATGCAAATATACAAATGTTGATTGCAGCCAACGACTTTGGGACTTCTTTTTACACTTCCAGTTAACACCTGTTTTTGTCTGTCACGGGGGTCAAGGGTCAAGGTCTCAGAGCTCCGTCATCAGGAGGGCTCTTAGTATCTTCTCTCTGTCCAACCTTGTTTCCTCTCCGCTAAACACACACACAAGCATACAAACTTATCATTACAACAAGTTTAAACAATTAAGTTTCCTTTATGTAACCTGGTAAAAGTCTCATTGAGAATGAAATGCAGTTTTCAAGGAAAATGGCAGCATAAAAGCAGTTTTACAACAATATAAACAACATATACAAGGTAAGACATTTCTGCATCACAAAGGAAATAAGCAGTAACTACAGAGACAAAGAAGTTAAAAAACTGTAAAATTTGTAAAACCTTACTTGTAAATTTTTTTAGGCTGGTCATAAATCACTGTCACAGATGTTACATAAAACCTTTTTCAGTGACTACATTTTATGTTTGGACTATTTAAAGGCTTCAGGGAAAAAACATCTACAAACAAGTTCTTGTTACATGTTCTTGTTTCTTCTTAAACTCTCGTCCATTTGAATTCATGAGCTAGTTTAGTAAATTAATCTTTAAAATGCTTAACCACTTTAAATGATGTGAATTTCAGCAGTCAGAGGCTACAGAGACAGCAGGCTTCTCTGCTAAGCTATAGGCTATTAGCTTTCAGCAGGACTAGTTTATCTTGGTAATTTGTGATTTCGCTACTGTCTTATTTAGATTACAGGCTCAGTAACAGACTTTGTTACTAAAATGTTGACGCATCAAAACTGATTGTTTGTCTGTTATAAGAAGTGGGTATGCTACCTCACCAGTTAGACATAAAGATAGTTTTTTCAAAAACCAAAATTACACATTTCTATGTCATGTCTGCACCACAGGGTTATCCTCATTTTTGTGAAATATTTGGACCTCAAGCAGTTATTTAAATGAAACCATCCGCTGGAAACCAGTGGTTTATATCTAACAATGCCTTGCATTTCATTAAACTAATCATTTGTTTTTATGTAATATCTTCATGTGAAAAGTAACTACAACCGTCAAATAAATGTAGTCGAGTAATTAAATTAGTATAAAGGAACATGAAATGGAAATGGAAAATACTCAAGTAAATGCAAGTGTAAATGTACATAGTTTCACTGGTAGAAAACCAGTGTATAAACGTGTCCCAAAGAGCAGAGTAGAAGTGTGTTACCTGTCATTATGGGCAGAAAGGTAAGGGGCCAGGTGAGGAATGGAGCTACGGTAGTAAGAAGGGGACAAGTGGGGGGAAGGTGAAGGAGAGGGACAGCATGGACTACCCAGCTCCAGTGCTGGCATATTATCCACCTGGAATACACATTAGTATATACGCACACAAAGACATATCTCTGTTTACTTACAGATAACACTGAAAGACTGAATTAATCCCCCCATAAGTGGAGTGAAGTGCACTAAACAAACGTGTGTGTGTGTGTGTGTGTGTGTGTGTGTGTGTGTGTGTGTGTGTGTGTGTGTGTGTGTATTTACCTGTGGGTATATGGAGGGCTGTATCTGTTTGTCCAATGAGCTGCTAGAGCCTGACTTTCCTGTACTCTGGGAGGAGATGGCTGCAAGTGCCTCTGGCAGATTATCTTCATCTTCATGGTTACTGACGAGCAAAATAAATTGAGAGACTGTATGACTTACATGACCTGCAGACTGCTCTGAACAAAATGTAATTTTCAAAGGGCGGAGATAGCAATGCTTTTGCTTCAAGTACTCTGTGGAGTATTTGTTTCAGGAGTGCAATTTCCCACTCATAGAAGCTCAAGTGTTGCTCTCTGAGCTCTGTCCCTTCAACAGTAATCAAAGGTGGTGTGTACTCACAAGCTGAACTGTCTGACCAGTCGTTTCCTGCGGTTGCTGCTTGGGTTAGCTTTGGGTTGCAGCCTCTCTGGCGTTGGGTTGCGGTCTTGCCGGTGGGGCGTCTTGTCTGCAGTCAGACTGGATGCAGCTGAGTCTTGGGATGAGCTCTGGTACCTGAAGACCAGTTAATATATGGAGAGTTAGTCTCAGCTACTCATGTGTAGAAACATAAGCATGTGAAGGTAGTGTAAGACCACTGACCTGTCATTGAGGGTCTCATTTGAGTTCTTTCCTCTGGGTGTTGTTGGAGCCTCCTTCTTCATATTGGAGGAGAGAAGGATGAAAATATTTAGCCTCTTGTCTGCATTGCTGTTAGATACGCAGCACAGTACACAGAGCTCCATCAACTCACCCTGAAAGCTGCCTCCATCTGGGCTTTGAGGATGTTACATTTAAGGTGGTCAGGGATGATCACCGGGGAGGCAGGAGGGTGCAAAGACTTTTCAGACAGCTGCTTCTCCTCTCCCTGCCAGGGGGAACAAGCAGGGCAGTAAGAAGACCTGGGTAACGCCTCTTTACGTAAGCAGAATAGAACAACAGTGTGTTGGAAATGTGTCTGACCTTGTTGTCCATGTTGATGTGCAATGAGGGCCAGGGAGGAGAATCGCTGTCTGACTCCAGAGCCTTGAGCAGAGACTGAGAGATGTCCAACTCATCCGCTGGGCAGGGAGGAGCTCGTCGTTCTAATATACACAAAGTTTAATGATATTGTACACACATAATATTTTATAGGCAACTTTGTTCTTTCTTCAGACTCAAAGAGAAAGAAGAGAAGTGAGAAAGAAAGAAAGAAAGAAAGAAAGAAAGAAAGAAAGAAAGAAAGAAAATATGTTAATAAAAAGGGGCAGTTCATACAAATCACAAAAACGTAGTTTCCCACTGTACTCTTGTGGTATCTAGCCATACTGTATCTGCCACAACCTCAGTCCAACAGAGGTGAATGAATGGAAAAACAGCAACTTCACTATGCAGAGACATTTTCCCAAATATTCTGGGTGACAAACAGATCTTACTTTCAACAACTTTTACAATTTTGTCTTGGTGAAAACTGTCCACACTGAGGTTTGAGGATAATCATATTATATACTTATAGCATATATATATATATATGTATGTATATCCATCTATTGGATTAATGGCAGAAGTCAAAGCTGTGGATATTTCTGTGTCCAAACAAAACCAAAACTATCTACATGGCTAGATGCCACTAAAGGATAAAGAATTAACTGACAGGTTCACATTTTTTTTAGGCCGGTTTAAAACAATTCTCTGGAACCCATATGAACATTGAAACGGGTTTTGCTCGCTGTTATCATTTCTCATGTTCATACTGACCACTGTGTGCAAAATTTGTCTCTCCATCACTTACACTGGTATTGCACTGGGGAGGGGTCCTTTAATGGCCACTTTGAACGGGAGCGATGATTGCAGCAAGCAGAACCTGTTCCAGTGTTATATTGGGCACATGACTGTTGTCTTGAAAAAAATGTGAGTGGGAAACTATGGCTTGTTTGTGATTTGGATGAGCTGCCTGCTGACCAACATACAGCGCTGAACATGAAAAGAGCATTAGCGTACGATCTAGACATATGACAGATTTGCAGACAGACACTGTTTGGACGGCTCCTCCTCAGGCTGAGAGTACTCACTGTTCTTGGTGTGTGTGTGACAGAGCGTGTCGTGGCTGTGTGTGTGGCGTCGGTGATGGTGGTGGATCTTGCCAGAATACGAAGTCTCATTCTCCTCAATGCTGAACTGATGGTCTGAGGCGGGACCACTCAGAGGGAAACTGAAGATGACATGTAGGCTAATCAAAACAAGCCCCCCCCTCCTAACAACATTCAATTTTTCTACCAACTATAATAGTTCTAATAAATCATTAATATCTAACTTTCAATCATTCTGACTTCATGACTCAAGTTTCTAAAGCATACTCATCAACAAGAATCATCCCACTATAGATGCTGAAAAAGACAGTAAATGACCATTACAACTGGGCTTAAATGATAAAACAATGAAAGACAGATCCTTGCAGATGTTAGATTTTTTGCAATTACAAACATTTTGTTTATTTGAAAAGCAATAAAGAGATATCCCTAAAGGCATCATGTGATTCGAGTAAACATCGCAGAGTAAAAGGCAACACACGAGAAAACCTTGGCCACATTTTCTGTAAACAGTTGTTTGATTTAGTTAATCCATAACCTGACACACAATTAATGTTAAGTTTATTCAACAGCCTCACTTGGAAAGCACAAACACAACATACGCAGGTTTTCTATTTCACACTGATCTATACATAAAGCAGCTTAATCCCTAAACCAGCATACAGTATGTGCTTAACTGGACCCCCTTTCACCTGTTAGAGAATTACCCTATTCAACACTCACATCACTTTATTCAAGTCTACATAAAGTGATTTTGATAAATTAGCTGTCATAAGATTTCTAAGGCATAAGGATAAATCTAGCGGCAGATTTGAGAACTTCTAGTAAACACAGAGTGCAATTGAAACACAAATCACAAATACATGTAAATGTTCACAAGCAAACCAAGGCACAAAGCTATTAAACCTTATTTATCTTATTTGTGTCCCATTGTTGTCTTTTAGTCTATATCAGCAGTTTTAAAAGAATCAGCCACAACATTAAAGCCAGTTACCAGTTTTAATGTTGTGGCTGACTGGTGTGTGTGTGTATGTGAATGGATAGAGGAGAGAGTCAGCGTTTAAGAAATATAACAACCATGTTAAGACACACTGAGCAATAAAGTGCAACATGAAAAACCAAAGACTAATCAGTCTTTGTCTTATTTCAACTTGGGAGATAATTAAGCTCTAACTTTTGGAAAATTCACACAATTACGGGGCCCCAGGGTGTTAACAGGAAGTACAGTGTTGCTATTAAGTGAGTGAGTTAGCGGTTGGCTACAACATGAGCACTGTTTTTTTGTTTGTTTTTTTTGCTTATATTTGTTTACATTCTGGCACCGTTAGATTACGCTGAATTCCCCATTTGAGGTTCATGTTTGCAATGTGCCCATGTATGTACAGATAGCTATCACTGGATTACTTTGATACTAAAGAAAACCTAAAACTCAGGCAAGTTCTGGAGATATAAGCATTTAAAGTTTTCAATTCACAATAGAGGATAATGATATCATCAGAAAATTAATGACACACTAAATCTAAAAATATGTGTATTATGTCCATTGACTCATTGAGACTTTTGGTGCAAATTGCAGATATCAGGTTTTTAAAGTACCTCAACTGCCTCCATGAGCTGTGCGTCACAGCCACTGCTGCGTGTTGATAATCGGGCCAAATTAAAATAAATAACTTCCCGTTGTTTTCAGAACACCAGCATGCACGCGCTTGGCCCTTTCACCTCACACAGTATCTCTGCCTCATGTCTCGGCCCTTTGCCTCACAGTTTGAAAACCTCTGGTTGACGTGAAAAGGTGTTTTGCCCTTATTTAAAGAGGGAGGGAAAGTCAAAAATGGATGAAGACAGAAGTGATGATGGTGATGGGGACAACTTTTTTTTTTTCTGTTGAGTCCATCAACAGAGCTTCTCTCTTTGGGGCACCAGCCTGTGTTAGCTTTAGTGTTATGAGTCTGGGTTTGGAACAGATTCCCAGAACAAACAGAGGTCAAAGTGCGGTCATGACTTTGTCCCTGTAAACCACACTCATGGGTCCCCGAACGGTGCTGCTGCTTCGCTCCGGGATGGGAGGATGACTGGACACAGGACTCGCAGCCTCAACAGAAGGCCTGAACATGACAAGGAGATGGACATCACACACACACACACACACACACACACACACACACACATATACACACACACACACACGCACACACACACACACACACACATACACGAGTATGGGGGGTAGACATACAGACAAACAGACTTATGAGGTGTATGAGTGACATGGAGTGTGATGAAACACAGATAATGTTGAGTACCAAAACAGAGACAGTGAGATGAATGACTTTGTCTAAAAATAGAAACTTGTCCTAAGACCACGTCCTCGGGAATCTCTAAACCCTTCCCTCCTCTGTGTGTGTGTGTGTGTGTGTGTGTGTGGTCAGTGGTCTTACCTGTGTGGTGGCGTGTGTCCGGAGGGCTGCAGGTAAACTGGAGGTGTGAGAGCGGGGTGGGGCGTGTGCCACGGCTCGTGGCCAATAGGAATGTTGCGCTGGTACTAGAGGGGAGGAGAGGAGAGGAGAGGGATTGAAGAGATGCTGAAATTAAATGTTGTCACAAGGGCGAAGCCAGATCAGTGGCTGCGGCATGTGTGTCTGTGCGTTTGCATGAAAGTGGGTTATCTGAGGTCACTCACTGGATGCAGGCTGGGATCAGGGCTGGCGTGAGAGCTGGGAAAAGAATGACAACAATCATTAATAGCAGATTAACAAACTAACTGAAAAGGTTTATTTCTTTATGTAGCGGTGTTGAAAAAAGCTACAAAGTGAGGACATTTTACTTCTCTTTTACAAAGGGCTATTTTAGTGTTAGCGTTAAGATTATCCAAGCCGTTATGTGGATTAAGGTCAAGGTTAGGGGATAAGGAATGAATGAAATAGATGGAATGTCCTCACAAGTACAGTAACATGAATGAGCATGTGAGTATTTTGTATACTCATGGGTGTATTTGTGTGTGTGCGTTTTACCTGATATGTGGGGGCTTGGCTGGAGAAATGGCAACTGACAGAGAGAAATGGAGAACAACACCGTAAGCTTGTCTGTTAACTTCATTTATTTGTGTTTTTCCTCAGGGGTTATGGAGTTTAAGTCTGATTTTTCAGCCCTCACTTCACTCTTCATCCATTTTTGTATTCCAGGGCTGAATGGCTGTTCAGACATCGACTAAATAAAAGGTGTTTGGACATGGACACTGGCGGTCTCAGAGTAAATGCAGTCGGCACTCGATCAGTTATGTATGTACGCCTGTGAGACCACTGTAGCTGACAGAAGGTGGGAATTATGGAGGACTGAAGAGTACAGCGGGTGCTTTTGACGAAGAAGGAACGTGACACAGCAAGTTGAAGTTAAAATACACTGAATTAAAACAGTATGTGACCTTTATGATTACATGTGCAAGCACGTAAAGGAAATAAACATGCACTGTTAGTCATCAGCGTTTTGTACACGCTGATAAGACCCACCTTTGCCCAGCGAATGTGTGCGGGAGGGGTATCGCTTGCTCGGCCTTCTCTCGAACGTGCTGGCTCTCCTCAGTCTGCCTCCGTGAGTGGCCTGATATTCTGTCTTACCACTGACACAGAAACACAGAGGAGTGTGAAAAGTACAGACGTTATTACGATACAGGGAGCACACCACAGGCTGGCTGCAGTTATAGGGTTTATTTCTCTGCCGAAGAATTTAAGCTAAAAGGATGTAAAGAAATATATACTTTTGAAGGTTTTAAAATGTAGACAAATGTTATTGTGCCACCATCAGGAAAAATTATTTAACTGTCTTGAAATGTATTACTTTTTTGCTTTTAATATATTTTCTTGAGCATACTCAATTGCTCATTTAATTTCTGTTATGAAATTAATTTGAAGTTCCACATAAGTGACATTGGTATGTTTATCATACTGGATCACATTACAGTGTACATGTGTTCCTGTTTTTATTTCTACCACCTGTAACTTGAGTGTTTATCCACTTATTCTAATGTGAAACAGACTTCACACTGCTTTGTTCAGCTGCTCCAACAAATGACAGGAAGTGCCCTTCAAGTGTGAGAATTTGCTCTGACCATCTCTGAAAACAAACAATATGAAGGGAATATCTCGGTCACCATAGGAACAGATCCACGTAACCATAGATACACTGTAACCATAGATACAAAAGCTCTGTTTTATGTGACACACTATTCCCCATATGCTGGCACAAGTGCTGGCCACAACTCCCTGAGTGAGCCAACTCGTATTATCCTTTTTCAGTCGGGTATCTACAGTCAGTGAGAAACGTTCAGTTGTTAAGGAGCTGGTCACCGTGCTCTACCTGAATCTGAAGCGGGACCCGAGTCGTGTGAAGTCGCTGCGGCTGGCTTTGCCTGTGGCTGGTTGTCTTAGTCGGAAGAAGGCATGGCTCTCCACAGCACACTTCCACAGGTGTTTGCAGCTCTTGGCGCTGGCCAGCTGGAACACAAACGTATGCTCCTGCTCCCGCCCCTGCACAATCAGGAGAAAAACAAAAAACAAACAAAGACTGTTAGTCGCCTTTCAGCTGAGCGCCTGAGGATGTTTGTGTCTAGGCATCTGTTGGTGGCAGGATACGAACCTGATCATCGTCCTCCACCACAACCAACGTGAGTCGACTCTTTTTAAAGTCCAGGCGAGTGATTTTGGGCCTAGATAACATACAAAGACACACAAACAGACAAGGCAACCAAGGACTCTGTATTAGTGCCTTAAGTGTGAGTGTTTTTTCAGGACGTTGTTCATCCAAAGGGCTTTTGTTTGTCATGATACCCCACCATCATGTCTGTCTCCATCAAACCAACCAACTGACGTCAAAGTGAACCATCATAAAAAACAATTAAAAAGCAGTTTTACGTTATGTTGCTGCAGATTGATATTAAACTTTTTCATATTTGAGCTGACACTAACAATAATTTTCATTATCATTAATCTACCAATTATTTTTTCAATACTCAATAAATAATTTAGTCTATGAAATGTCAAAAACAATCCAAAGTTGTGTCTTATTTTGTTCAACCAAAACTTCAAAACCCAAAATATTCAGTTTACTATCATATAAAACAAACAGAAACAGTTTCCAGTTTCAGGTTTGAACCAGATATTATTTGACATTTCTTTTTTATGATTTTTACCTTGAAAATTACTAAAACTATTTATCGATTATCAAAATAGTTGCAGGTAATTCTTTTGATGACTGATTAATTGACTAATCATTTCAGCTGTAATTCACATAAACAATTACTGCTGTGTCCCTGGAAAAGTCAGGAGCCAGAAAGCGTATTGCTTTACTACTAACAGCGACTAACTGTGTCATGCTGTCATGTTATTAGAAGAAGAAGAATATTCTTACGTTTATTGCTTATTTTTTTTATCATTGTGTGTGATGAGTTTGAAAATGTAACATATAATGCTGTTAATGAAAATGTTGTTTTTTACTTAAGTGTACAAAAAATTGGAAATCGCCTTAAGTCACCCCACACCCCACACATCTGTTGTCACCCCACACCAGATATGTTTGATGTACTTACCAAAAGAAGAGGCCGATTTTGTTGGAGCCCTCAAATACTAAGATACCAGTAGGAGTGAGACCTAGTGCATATTCTCCTCCATCTCTGCCCTGAATACAAAACACACACACCTTTAGCGCTCTTGTAATGTGCTGACACATATTAAGTGATATTTGTGACAGTAAAACACATTCACACACCTTGACAAAGTGCATATCTACTCCGTAAAGTTCCAGCCACTTGCATTTGTTGAGAAAAGAAATCTCTGCTTGAGACGGGCTCTTTCCCCTGAAGATTTAAAATAAGACACCATGAAGAGTTGTCACAACGAAAATATAACCCCCCTCCATCACCGCAGCTCTGACACTTGCAGCTCACCCTGAAAAAGAAAACTATCACTAACAACAGTACTCTACTGGTGTCTGGTGTTAGCTCTAAGGGAAATACTCGGTGAGTAACTATCTGGCTGCATCATCCTTGACTCAGTCTTGATTTTGTGCATAAGAATGACTGTGAACTCAGTGTGGGTTCGTCCTTGTGTGGCTTGGTGAAGCGTAGCATATGTGTGTGTAATCTAATCCGAGATGGGAGCAATCAGAGCGCGGCTGGGTTAAATACTGCCTGGAATCAATCAAGACCCTCCAGGGATTAATCCTTTAATCCTTCACACAGACCAGTGAGAGCGAGGCCGAGGCGGAGGAGGAGAGAACGGAGGGACAGTGAAATTTAGACATCATCGTCGGTGGAAACACTGATAGGCAGCAGCACACCGACTTCCTTTTCTGCTCAGTGCTCACCTGTTTGCCCCAGCGAGGAGAGAGAACTGCTCAGGCCAAATCAGTGAGTTGCTTTAACGCAGCAGAAGTATCGTTGCAACTAATCCAGATGCATGTGAGGAAATGTTATGTCTCACCTGAGCTCCAGCCACTGGCTGAAGATGTCCGCCTCCATGGCCTCGCTCTGTTTGGGAGTGAAACGAAACTCAGACACCAGCTCAGGAGAGTGATCCAAGGGATCACAGTCTCCCAGCTCACCTGAATGAGGGTACACACAAAAACATATTGAGCATAGACCTGTAAGACATTACACACACACAACATGCTGTCAAACTTATAAAGTCTACAACAAAGCTTGTGTATTCTTAGTGCAGATCTATAAAGCTCTTCTCTACTTGTGCTGCTATTTTTTTTAATTGTTTTACCATTTACCATTATGCAATAATTGTCACTTGTAGTCACAGTGGTTGTGTAGCGGGAACAGAGTCTTATTTTAACACGGCAAATTCCTGCATCTTCAAACAGCTGCACCACAGTGTATGAACATCTAATTGTAGACTAAAGACATGTTTGACATGAATAATCTACTTGGAGTATGTAATTGGTGTTACTTAACAGTGTTTTGAAAAAATGTCCTTGTTGGTGCTTTTAAGCGTTGACATCTTAGATTTGAGAACAAGCCACAGAAAGCCAACCTTTCTAATGCAAGGAACCAACAAACTCATATTGTACTTTTCACAGAATCCATTTTTGCTTATCTTTTGTCTCCTGGGTTTGATTTGAGATATGGATGTCTTACTTTTTGGTTTCTGCAACAGCAAGGAAGTAAATAAATGTTTCAAGTTTCAAATATGCAAGATTTTCATATCCAAATGAAATGAATGGAAATGAACTGCTTCCAGAAAGGTAAAATCCAACATAATTAATGTAAAAGCTTTGTATATGCTTTGGAAAACAGGTAGCAGTAATAGGAATGATCTGTAGTTACTGGGCTAAACATGTAACACTACCAGTGTGGTCCTGTGAGAGGAGAAACCTCTTACTATAACTGTAAATATAAATGGATACATGATACAAATAATATAAATGAGTATGTGAAGTCTACTTACTTTGTAAACAATAGGCAGCAAGCTCTACTGAGACATCATACGGACACTTCAGTCTGAAGAGTGATAAAAAGAGACACAGATGATGAGCTGTTTTCAGTGTGAGTGCATTTACACACACTTCCAAAATCAAGCACACGGCCCTATCCATGGAGTGATGTGTACATGTTATCATGTGTCAGAAAGACATAACAGCATCTGAATGACCTACACTGTGTGTGTGTGTGTGTGTGTTTGTGTGCGTGTGTGTGTGTGTGTGTGTGTGTGTGTGTGTGTGCACAGATGTGTGTGTGTGTGTGTGTGTGTCAAGGAGGAGAGGAGCAACCCTTTTCCTAAAATAGGCAGCACTCTGCTGTTCCTGATCTTGAGCTTTATAATAGAGCTGGACTCTGGGGATCTGTGGCCCAGATAGAGCCAGGAGGAGAGAGAGAGGGGTAATACACTGTCTGAGAGTGTGCTTGTGCACACAGGTTTGTGTTTTTGTTGAAGAAGCAGACTCCACTGTACAGAAGTCCCCCAAACTCTAGAGTAGGTGACCTGTGTGTACACTCCCACAGGTGGGTGTGCGTATAGCAGTTTTAATGCTACTTGTGAGATCCAGATGTGCTCACAAATGAGGGGGAATTACCAGAAAATGACTAGCGGGAACTTGTTTTGTCCTCATGAGGAGAGACACATAATTTAAGGTGAAGGTTCTCCTTTGTTTCAGTTACGGTGGGTTCATTTATATGCATGAGAATTTAAGGTTACGGTCCGAGAATAAAAAGCCATGCATTCATTCCGCACTTTTCATTTACTTATTGCTTTAACTGTCTTTGCTATTAATGCACCACAGACTTGTATATTTATGTATTCACAAAATTATGTCAGTACTCACTGCTAGCTAAGACTTTTCAGAGCTCATTTCAAATGCATTCACTCATACTCCACAGAGCAGCTTCATCTTACATTACAAGGTCAAATTTCTATTTACAGTAGACAGAGATTAGATCTTAGATTTCAATTTAACTCCATATTGTCCACAATGCATCATCTTTTTTTTTAAGAAACATTGGTTATGTGACATGACCTGACTTCACCATATTGATCAACAACTATCAGATGGATGGATACGAAATGTTGTACAGACATTCATGGTCCCCAGATGATGAATCATACTGACTTGGGACATCCGTTCACTTCACCTGTAGAGGTTTTTTGTGTGAAATGTCTCAACAACAACTGGATGGATCGTCATGATTCTTTGTTCAGACTTATTCACATCAAGCATACCTCTCCCATCTCTCCCTTCTCCAGGTACTGTTTGTTCTGGGCTCGTAATATGCTAAGACACCTCCATACTGTGTTTGTGTATTGTATATTTACATGTCTGTAAATAAACATCTGTCACAATGTTTTCCCAAACAATTTCTGCATGTGACATATGTACGCATAAACGGTGACAAAGAAACTTACTTGCCGGACAGAATGTCCTGCCGCAGCTGCAACACAAACAGATACCTGTTGGTGTCAAAAAACAAAACAAAAAAAAAACAAAAACAGAGTGAGAGCCTTACACTGAAGGAGAACATAAATCAATTGATGGATCACAGGCTTCTCCTCATCACTGACACATAATTTGCTTTAACAAGTCTCTGTCCGTTCGGCCTTGATTTGAATCTGCCCACAGCAGCAAAGTAATTAGCCTCACATCCCCTTTGGACCTGTACACTGGGCTCCAGAGAAAACTGTGTGTGTGTGTACGTATATGTGCGTGTGTGTGTTTGATTTGTGTGCATGATTTCTTACCTTGTAAATTCCTCACGCAGGTTGTTTGGCTCCGATGAGTAAAATTTCACTCTGAAGAAGAGTCTGTAAGGAGGCCCGTCTGAAAGAAGTGAGGACAGAGGGAAAAGTGTGAATAAGGACTCTGCAGGAAGAGAAAGAGGTGGAGAGAGATGAGATGTAATTTATTGAAAATTAATTTAATCAAATCTTCTTTATTCATTTTATCTCATCCGTTCATTCTATTCTTCTCATCTACTCCATCTATCACTTTCACCACGGCCATAAATCTTAAATTCTTTCCTGTTTAATTTCAACATCAATCAGATTTTTTTAAGCCATTGAACTATAACACACATACACACACACCATATAATTTATCACCGTTACAAGTTGGAGAGCAAACAAGGGTACGCCTTCTAATGCAGATACTAATCGCCATGTCAACATTTGATAATGCGCCACCTGCTCCCTACTTACCTGCTTCCACATGCACACTGCACCTTTTCCTGCACAAGTGGGCCTAACAAGAACAAACAGGGGGACTCACCTCGGATCTGCTTCTTTATAAGCTTGGACATATCCAGCCAGTGCTAAAGGAGAGAGAAGAATAAAAAAAAAGGTGAGAGTGAGAGTTATATCCGCTTGTGCTCTACTGTGATAGAAGTAAGCACTTGTTACTCACTGAGACTTGGTCTGTGTCCATGAACTGCAGTCCAAAGTAGTCTGTCTCAACCAGATCTATGTGATACATGATCTGGTCAAAAAGGTCCTGGCCTTTGGATTTGCTCTACAACAAAAGAATGAAAGGTTAAACATTTTTCAACCGAGCTGCATGTGTGTTTATTGTTTTATTTCTTCTGCTGTACTAACATTATCTTGTCTGGATGAATGGAGTCTTTAAAACTGAATTTTGAGTTTCACTATTCAGGTGGCTCACACACTTCCCGGTAATTCAGGAACAGACCTGGTGTCCGTAACAGGAGCAAAATGAGGTAGTAGGTGTGAAAGTGGCTGTTTTTGTGTGTGTGTGTGTGTGTGTGTGTGTGTGTGATGTGTGTGCGTGTGCATCTGGGTCAAAAAGAGAAGGACAAGCCCCTGAGGGAAAGGCCCTTATTCAGGCCTTTTGTCATTAACACACACAACACAAGAACACAAGTCAGGGCACTTAACTCAACTTTCAGCTTAATGTCCCAAACTTTACGAGCAGATGTGTGTCATAGCCTCACATGAAGACCTTCACCCACGTCTCACCCATATTACACACGGTGGGCGTGCAGGAAGATGACAGCCTTGTACTTTGGATCCTGATAACCAGTCTAAACTTCCTGGTGAGTGTATGAATGTGTGAGGAAATCAGTGGTATTAAAGGATTGGGAACAGAAAACGCTCTCGCTCATTCTGCTGCATGTAGTTTAGAGAGGCTGATTGAAATCATAGCCTCTATCACATGGGCGCACATGCACCAGCAGCATGAACGAGGCAAAATTGACCTCACGCGGTCGCTCACAGTGAAGTGAATGTTTCACCGCTGCTGTTGTACCTTTTGTCTTGGCTGCATTCAGCCTGAAGTGACAGACTAATAAGCTTTAATAGGTGAGTTTCAGCTCGGTTTAGCGCACCAGTATCAATGCCTGTGGGAAAACAAGTGGACATGAACAAACTTGTTCCAACACACCTGTGACTAAGCTGCCAGCTTGACAAGCCATGTGTCATTTTGTTGCTGGAGCTGTAATACCTCAGCAGAAGCTATGGCCTTGTGTTATTGCTGTAATCTCCCTGTAGGACAAGAGAAAGACTCTCCACCCTTATACCACTATTCACTGGCCGAGCATTTTCAGGAGGTGACGCATGCATGCAACAGCTTCAGTGACACACACAACCTTCAAAATGAAAACATCTCACAAGAAGCCACTTACGCACGAGTGCCCACGTACTCGCTCATCATCCCACCTACCCCTGCACACACTCGTAGCACTTGTCTGTGACACACAGTCCCCACATTTGGTAAATCAGATCAGGGAGTCAGGGAATAGAGAGAGACATGGAGCGCAGGAGGGAAATGGAGAAGAAGAGGGAGGATGAGGAGGCAGAGTGTGAAAGAGTAAGATGATGAGCAAGGGAGAAGGCCTCAGAGGGAGTGTAAAAGAAGATTAGGAGGGAGAGTCAGGTGGGGGGGGCAGCGGAGATTGCTTGAGATCAGATACAGGCAAATAGACTGAGGGAGAGAGAGAGAGATAGAGAGAGAGAGAGAGAGAGAAGCACGTGAAGGAAAGATGCTGTAAAAGAACAAAAAAGAGGGGGCAGCTTCAGGTCTGTAGATTTCCCAACAGTCAGTACGGGGAAGTAATGTGATGAACTGGCTGATCATACCACCATCTGGAGCTGCACCTCTCAGTGTACACACACACACACACACACACACACACACACACACACACTATACGCACACTCATACTATATAGGCCACTATGATACTACAGGCTGTGAAACTTTGGTAAGGACAAACTTATCTGTGCCAAACTCCAAACTGACACATTTCAGACACATGTCGTTGACTTGAGCTTGGGATGCAACTATTAGTGATTTGCATTACTGATTAATCTGTTGCTTAGTTATTTAGTTAGTCACCAAAATGTCAAAAACAATGCCCTGGATCCCTTATGAGATATTCAAGTTACTCATTTTGTTTGAACACGGGCCCAAAACTCAAAATTATTCAGTTAATGTGACAGAAACAGAGAAAAGTAGAAAATCCTCATATTTGAGATGCTGAAAAGAGTTTCACATCAAACTTCACTGTCAATCCATCAATCCATTAAGGACTAGGCTAATTGTTTGAACCCTAATTTGAACTGCATGTCTTCTAAATGAATGGGGAAATAAAAAAAGTGTAACAGGACAAAACACAGAGTACATTTTTCTAACATATTCTCCAATCAGGATTGTTTTTCCTTAAACTTTTATTATGGAAAAATGAAGTATTTAGTATCAAAACTGTCCAAAACTGAGTTGCAGTTTCTCCTCATATTTTTAATTCAAAAAAGTTGAGCATAAACTGAAAACAACCCTGACTCCAGACTCAGTTAGATAAATTACAGTAAATTAAATTTATGTGCAGTAACCCTGTCATCTTTTTGCAGGGGACCACCAGGAACCGTCTGGTCCCAACGCGGTCCCCGGGCCACACTTTGACACACACTGATCTAGGCTACCACCTGGTCCTGCTACATGTACTCTGTTTACACACTCGGCCGGCCAGTGTAAACACACAGAGCCGCTGTCAGGACACCAGACAGGCTTCAGCGCACTCACAGGCAAATCCACATTGACATCCGAGCCGTCCAGCAGCAGGACGCGACAGGTGATGGTGGTCCTCGCCGTCCCGGCCGCAGGGATGTGAACCGACGCCCCCCCGGCGACCACGGCGGGCGCGTGTACGACCTGCTGCTGATGGGCCAGGAGCAGGGGGTTCCCGGTCACCCCTCCTCCTCCTCCCCCTCCTCCCCCTTTACCGTCCCGCTCGTCCCTGTCTCTCGCCTGGAAGCGGCTCCGAGAGCGGCGGCTGAACGTCCGGCGCAGAAAGCCCATCATCTTCCTGATCCACGAGGCGAGGAGGTCCGTGTTGTGTCCGTGAAGACTGCTCCACACAACAGTCGCTGAAGCCGGGGTCCTGCTTCTGCTGCCGCCGCCGCCGCCTCCTCCTCCTCCTCGTCCTCCCCGGGGCGAGGAGTCACTCAGCAGGCACGGCGGAGACTTCAGGGCTGCCGATCAGTCCTCAGGCTGGATGTCGGCAGCAGCGTGGGGACTCCAGCCGCATACTAATGAAACTAACACAGATCGACCACAGAGGCGCCAACCAGTTGATTTCCAGTCATTCGGTCCGGTGTGGACGACAGGACTCTGTCACGGAAATACAGGCAGCCCTCCTCCTCCCCCTGTCCTGTCCTCTCCTGTGCACCTGCCTCCTACTTGGCTCGCTGTTGCGCACCGACTCTAAAATCCCGGAGAAATCCCGTCCGACGCTCCGCAACGGGAACCCCTGAGTCACACGGGGCCGGGGAAGGGAGGAGGGAAGTCTTATCACCTCTGGACCGGAGCGGAGTTCGGAGGTCGTTGTTCTTTATTCCCACCGGCGAACCGAAACTAGTCTCTCTCCCTCTCTCTCACAGGTAAAAGTCAACCAGCGAAACTGGACAAACAGCATGATCTGCGCCTGCGTAAAAACACAGCGCAGAACAAACTTCTGTTCCTCCCGACTGGCCGACCCATCACTGCCGGTCAACCAGCGCCACCTGTCTGCCAGGGACCCGCCTGTCTATAGGGAGTGTATAGATTATGGCAGATCATTAGTGGTTCCCAACGTAGGGTCCGGGGTGCCCCTGAGGTCGTCAAAGGGTTTCCAAGAGGTCCCAGCATGATGATGATGATGATGGTGATTTATGTCACTTTATTCATCTGGGTCATGCCCAGGAGTTAACAAATACTGAGATAATCAAACTTTCAATCAAATTTGACTTGTATAACACCTTTTATATGTTAAAATTTAATATAATTCAAAGTGCTTTATAGATGACTGACAAACTGATAAGAAGGGTTAAACCATTATATACCAAGTATTTTATATTGAAGATAATATATAATGGCTATAAAACATTCTAATCAAAGGCAAGGCTAAAGAGGTAGGTTTTAAAAAGATCATGAGTCAGTCTTCCCAAAACAACCCCATCATACATTTATTTAACTACTTGAATTTTTGATCAGTTGCATTTTCTGCAAAATATTTCCCAGCACGAAGGCTTAAAAGCCCTCTCCACGCTGCCAGGAATTAAATTCTCTTGGAGAAATACTAAATCCTTTACTCTTCTATTGGCTAAAAGTGGTCAAATCACAGTATATTGACATTACAAATACTGGAATCTGTTGTCAAGTATCCAACATGTGTTGTTTTCACAATCATGCACAACATCAGCACTGCTCATTTACAAAAAAAAAAAACAGCACATTTCCAAACACAAAACTCTCCCATATCACATTTCCACCCACACACATTGCAACAAGAGGGATCAACCAAGTAACAAAGTGGCTTTCTTATTAATAAAAAGAAAAAAGAAACAATACAATTCTAAGAGAATGAGCCAAAGCAAAACTCCCACCTCATCTTTTCACTTCACACTTGAAATATAAATATTTTTCTGCACCATTCCACATCCTGTATGACATTTTCTCATACCCAGCAACTTTTGCTAACTCTGTTATTCAGTCATGAAACGAAGACTCGCCAGGTGTCTCCCAGGACCTGAGAATAATTTTCTGTACAATCAACATTGCTGTCTGGATCGTGTCCATGTGTAAGTTTTTAACTGTGGACTTCCAGCATGACCTTACAAACCAGCTGCTTATCTTCAGCATAACATAAACCCTCACTGATGCATCTCCTGGGTGAGACTTCTCATAAATGTGGATTTTCCTGCAGAAGCCTTCTGGTTCTGGGTATGGTGAATCTAATTTATGAGTGAGGTGATGAGATTCTGTAGCATTCTCTCACATATCTTATTGGTAATAGCGGGTACATTGGGAATAGTCTACCTACTCTACATGCCCGAATTTTTTTGTATCCTTATGAAAAAAGAACCACAGAATAAGGAGTGCACAAATATACTGTACAACACAGTGAATCATACACAACATTCTTCCAGAATATCATCATCATAAACCTGCAGAGACATTTTGTTGTAGTGTCTTTCTTTAAGCCAATATTTTGTCATAATCAGACAGGTTGGGCTGATTTGTGATGCTGAGATAGTGTCACTGAAATGATGCCAGCTTTCAAGGCGCTCAGCTGAAGGTTAAATAAGCAGACTACTCCTCGCTTCAGTGAGCAGCCTCATTCTGCAAGGAAGTGTGAAAAAGGCTTGTGTTGCCTAAAAGACATCACTGAGCCTTAGACAGAAAGTGGCATCCTCTCCTAAAGATCCAATTCATAACGTTCACCATCAGAAGAAATGACAAAGCAGACACATCAGTATAAATCAGTGTGTTTATTTAGTGTCTTAATAATTTAAGAGTGATGAGCAGTGGATTTGGTGCTCCTCTGGTGGACAGCATGCGGTGCTGCACCACCTCGACTTTACAGTATTATCTGCTGTAGTGATCTAAAGCCTGCCTTGCTCTTCGTCTTTGGACACACAGATAAACTACAGATTACAACCATCCTGGTCTGCCTCTGCTGCCCTCTTCGATCCATCGACTGGGAGGCACGAGTCTAAGGCACACATAGCTTAATAAGTGGAGGCATCATTCCTGAGTGGCCTCGTGGACAGAAATTAGCAGCTCACGTCAGTCTTACATCAGTCTCTATGGAGACCACAGCCTCTACAAGCTTAATGCACGATCAGCAAAAACTAAGGCCGACTAGCTTTAAGATTCATACTCTAGGCAACGCAGATCACAGACACCTGTGCTCTGAAGCCAGTTACACTCTCACTCTCCAGTCTTTGTACCAGTCCCATAGGCATGACAGAGGTTAATCTGTTATAGCTCCGGGAGTCCCTCGGTGGAAGTTGCTTTCTATGAGATGAGGCTGAAATGGAAAGTGTGTCTGTTTTGGTCCTGTTGCTGATTTGAGTTAAGGTGCTGTAGATCCCCCCTGCTTCTCTTTATAGACTCGCAGAATGGCCTCACACACAAACTGGAACTGACACTGAAACACACAACATACCAAGTGTTATTAGTTATTGGAAAACAGTGCTGTTTTTAAAAGGATAACACTGGTGATAGTCTATATTTTGCTTATTGTCAACGGATCCCATGAAAAGAACAAACCATCAATCAACTGATCCTACAAACAATTATAATCTGTGTGCTGTTATATTATATTCCTTTGTGTAATAGAGCTCCAATGGTGTCTGAAATCTATTAAAAACACATGAATGAGCCACATGGTTGTGCTGGGTGATGTGCTCCTTCACTACCATGAACATGGGCACCGTGGTGGATTTTTAAATCAATCCCACATACACCATCCTGCCGCAGATTAATACATATTTGTGGCTGAAAATAGTCCCACAAAAAATGCACTTTTTCTTACAACTATTTGGGGAAAATTTCGCAAACTGCAGTACTCAGCAAACCTCTTTGACAAGACTAGGAGTAGTTTATCATGTTAGCATGCAAACCTTTGGGAACCTTGAATCTCTGCATATATGAATATTTAACATTTATAAAGTCAAAAAGGATTGAAATTGATTGGACTCATACATTGTTTTCATGGGATTTGTTGGCAACAAGACAAATACAGAACAATGCCAGCCTTATCCTGTGCCACATGGACCCTTGACAAGAAGGTGTGTCCTCTGACTATGCATGTTTCCATTACTGAGACACAAACATATGAGGGGAAACCTGCACAGCAGCACAAAAACATCAGAGAGAAGAAGCCGTAAGGGCCGGATCTCCTTTCAAAAATGAGGGTGATAGTGGTAGCAGCAGTGCCCTAGAAGTGGGCATGTGACTCAAGGGCTGCCAAATTCCCAGCACTACCTCCTATCAAAGCAGTAACAGTTTCCTCTCCTTCGACAACTACCACGGAGGTGCCACAGAGCATGGCTTCCAAACTCAGCTTGCTGCTCTGGCTCATCAGTCATTAGTATAAAACTGTGGCAGTCAGGTTTCTGTGAATGCATGAATGAAAATTACAGATGACAGCGCTCTACAGATGTCAAAATATTGGCATGACATTGGCCTTTAAAAAGTTCTTCTGGACACAGTGAATTTCACAGTAAGTCTCCTCTCTGTTTACTTACAAGATATTTTCAGAAAAAGTTTGAGCACGCAACTCATTTTTAATCTTCCAGAAGCTCTCTATTAAACCACATTCCTGAAATTTCAAACTAATCACAGTGGGTGTAATGAAATATAAAAACCAACATGTTATTTAATTCATACACGCACTTGAACAGCCTGCACTGAGCCAAGAGAAGGCATGTGGCTACAATGTCATTGTAGCATGCAGCATACCACACGTCACCTAATGTTCTCTGTGGTCACATCCTGCCATATGTCAAGCCTTTAAACTAAGAAAAAAAGATTTCTCCACCTGACGGCTTTTCCTATAAAACAAACAAAAATGCGAAGATGTTTTAGACCACATGCAGAAAGACAAATCAGCTGGACCTTGTGATAATTAAAAGTTTGTCTTGCTATCCGCCAAAAGATATTTAGAGCTACAAAATCTTGTTGTCAGGTTACAAGTTATCATAATGTAATCGAACAAAAAAAAGAATCATCAAATGAGCAAATCATAAATCTTGTTCTGTTTCTTTGTACCGTGGTCTGAACCATCATGGCTCGTTGATCTCTCAGTGTTTTGACAATGTCCAGCGGGAACACTGGCCGACCCTTTTCCAACAGACTCAGCGCCGTTTCCATGGTGATCAGAACACCTGTCCGTCCTATCCCAGCGCTGAAAATGTAATTCGAAACAAACACGGCATTAGGTGTATAGCAGAGGCGGGTACAGTACATGCTGGCGGTGTTCAATAAGAGTATAACCTGTGTATGTGAGAGTGTGTGTGTGAGAGTGTGTGTGTGTGTGTGTGTGTGTGTGTGTGTG